GTGGCGAGAGGGACCCGGCCCCAGCATGGCACCCCCAGCAGGCTGCCGGGGTCACAAACACCCCACGACAAACGGCCTGCCGTTTCCAGCCCGGTCCCCACTGTCCCCCACGCCCCCCAGCCTCAGGAGCGAACTCAGGGAAGGGTTTTCCGGACCCGCCTCTTCGTCTGGGGCCGGGAGCCGCCTCCCCTCCGCAGCCTGAGTCAGCCTGGACGTCAGGACTGCTCGCTTGTGCAGAGATCCCCATGGAAACCGGCAGGCAGGTTCGGGCGGGAGGGAGCGGCTCCCCAGAAAGGTGGGGGGGGGCTGGTGGGAGGATCTCGGGGGAGCATTGGTCACCCCAACCCCCTGCCCCACGCTGGCTGCAGGGGAGGTGCAAGGGGGGCCCAGTTTAAAATGTCAGCTCCGAAGGCCTTTGGGGTCTTTCAGGCCCTGCTTTCTCCAGCCCCGATCCTCGCGCTGAGGCCACCAGGCAGGATGTCCCCTCAGGGGCAGAGGGGGCGCGTCTCTTCCTGGTGTGGCAGACGCAAGACACCCCCAAACTGCCGCATGTCAGCCCCTGGCCCATTCCCTGACGCCGTGGGAAGGCCACGTCCGCCAAGCCGGCTGTCCCCGGCGGGTGGGCCCGGCTGGTGGACCTCCGCGTCCATGATACGCCCCGCGCCTCGCGGTCACTCTCGGGCACGCGGCTACCAGGCGGCTGCCCCGAACTCGCCTGGGTGGAGCATCGCTCCTCGCACGGCCCCGGCGAGCTGGTGGCCAAGGACGAAGGCCCCTCCGCCTTGGCTGGGGCTCCCCTGTTCCCCTTAATATCCCTTTAATGAGAGCAGTTTGGCAACGACGTAAAGCGTGCACTTGCCCTTTGTCCCAGTCGCCGTTTCTGGGAATCTGGCCTAAGGAAATAATCCTAAATATAGGGTAGAAAAACATGTTTCACAAGGATGTGCGCAGCGGAGCTGTTTATGGCAGCTGGGATGAAACAATGGCACCGTCCCCGGGGACAGGCCGCAGCAGAGATGACAAGGAGGTGGCAGAATACTTCACAGCCCAGAAACACGAGTTCCGGGGGTTCTTGTTCAGAATAGAGGGTGTCTCCCTGATTCGACGTGTGAGGAAAGGCCATAGTACGTGACATACGGTTTCGGCTCTGTAACAATACGAGTGAAAGATAATCGGGCCGTCGTCCACCAGAGTGAGGATGAGTGATCTTGGTAGGGTTTCACCTGGAAGGTTTCATTCTCTTCGTCATCCTCCAAATTGTCCTTGATAGTCACACATCGCCGTTGCAGCCAGGTTCGGGTTGTACTTGACTCGTAGTAGGATTCGCCTTTCAGCGTGAGTTTTGTCAAACGTGAACAGTTGCGTAACCGCCGCCACAGTCAAAATGGCAAATAATCCTGCTGTCCCCAAACGTCCCCCTGGGCTGCCCTTTCCTAGCCAGCCCTCAGCCACAGCCACCAGCCTGATGTCAGCCCCTGTCTCGTTTATTCCGAGTAGAATCACACGGTACGTCTCACGCCGCCCTTAGGTTTAGAAAACAGAGTATTAATCTGCCTGTTGTCCTCTTGGATGCGACTCTTAGCGCTGGTGTCCTGGCTTCGCTCGGTGGCAGAGAATTTCCGTTTTTCTTTTATCTGATGCAGCCTGCAACCCCTGTAGGAACCTCCCCCGCTGAAGCTGCGATTGTCGTACTCAGGCGACCAGGAATTATCCGTCATCTGTAAAGTTGTCCCAGCACGCGCAGGTCCCTGGAGCGGCAGCGGCCCTGCTCGGCCTCGGCTCACGCCGGACTCCCTGGGGCGACACGTGCAGGCGCGCTGGGTCCCTCCACCTGCGCCCCTGCAGGCCTCGCGTGCTCCTGCCCAGCAGCGACATGGCAGCCACTAGCAGCCCGGTTTTTATTAATAATAAACATTTTGTTTAGACTAGCTAGAGATGTAGGGAAAAGTGACGGAAACAGTTCACAGCGCCCACAGTCGCACGCCTGGCTTCCCTTGTTCACGACGTCTCTCGGTGGCGTGCAGCGGCCGTCCCCACTGGTGACCGGCATCGATATGTGGTGATTGACGGCCAGCCTTACTTGATTTCCTTTTCTCCCCCCACTTTCTACCTGAGGTCCTTTTTCTGTCCCAGGAGCCCGTCTGGGATGCCACTGTCCTACCCCTCCCTCGGCGGGGGCAGGTGCTCGGGCCTTCCGTGTGTCTGATGGGTTCTGCGGCTGCTGGGGTTGGAAACGGGTTTTATATCTTTGCATCTTTGTGGCCCCGCGGTTTTCCGGCCACTCTAGTGACTGCATCTCAGCCCTGTCGTCCGGCCTTTGTGTATGTCAAGGGCTCGGAGACCACCCGGGCCTTCAAAAGAGAGACGGAGGGATGCACGTGAGCCTCTGGGGCCATTGCTTCCCAAAGGGGGGTTTTTAAATTTTAATTTTAAAAAATAGCTAACAAAGAAAGCATCTCCCCGAGCGTGTTTATGGGCAGTGATTATAGGTAACACATAGACGAACATCTTCTTTATTTTGGTGAGATGTTCATTCATTTGTGAAGGAGTATGAATAGCAATCGCCTCCTAAATGTCAGGCGCCGGCGAGGCACGTGGAACAGAACAGGCGAACCTTCCTGCTCCCGCGGTGCTTACACACTAGCGGGGAGACAGTCAGGCGGCGGCAACACAGTAGTGTGGGAGCGTGGGCTGGGAAATAAGCACAGAACCAGCCGCCAAGCCCCGGCGTCGCTGCTGCTGCTCAGGACAAGCTGTGCTGTTGGGGCTGAGTCACCGACTGCAGAGCCCTGGGAGCGGAGCACTGGGGGCAGAGCACTGGGAATGGAGCACTAGGAGTGGAGCACTGGGGGCAGAGCACTGGGAGTGGAGCACTGGGGGCAGAGCACTGGGAGCGGAGCACTAGGAGTGGAGCACTGGGGGCAGAGCACTGGGAGTGGAGCACTAGGAGCGGAGCACTGGGGGCAGAGCACTGGGAGTGGAGCACTAGGAGCGGAGCACTGGGGGCAGAGCACTGGGAGTGGAGCACTAGGGGCAGAGCACTGGGGGCAGAGCACTGGGAGTGGAGCACTAGGAGTGGAGCACTGGGGGCAGAGCACTGGGAATGGAACACTAGGAGTGGAGCACTGGGGGCAGAGCACTGGGAATGGAACACTAGGAGTGGAGCACTGGGGGCAGAGCACTGGGAGCGGAACACTAGGAGCGGAGCACTGGGGGCAGAGCACTGGGAGTGGAGCACTAGGAGTGGAGCACTGGGGGCAGAGCACTGGGAGCGGAACACTAGGAGCGGAGCACTGGGGGGAGCACTGGGGGCAGAGCACTGGGAGTGGAGCACTAGGAGCGGAGCACTGGGGGCAGAGCACTGGGAGTGGAGCACTAGGGGCAGAGCACTGGGGGCAGAGCACTGGGAGTGGAGCACTAGGAGTGGAGCACTGGGGGCAGAGCACTGGGGGCAGAGCACTAGGAGTGGAGCACTGGGAGTGGAGCACTGGGGGCAGAGCACTGGGAGTGGAGCACTGGGGGCAGAGCACTGGGAGTGGAGCACTGGGAGTGGAGCACTGGGAGTGGAGCACTGAAAGCAGAGCACTGGGAGTGGAGCACTGGGGGCGGAGCACTAGGAGTGGAGCACTGGGGGCGGAGCACTGGGGGCAGAGCACTGGGGGCGGAGCACTGGGAGCAGAGCACTGGGAGCGGAGCACTGGGGGCGGAGCACTGGGAGCAGAGCACTGGGGGCGGAGCAGCGCCTGGGACGCTGGATAGGGCAGGCTGTTGAAGGCCACGAGTCTGACTTTGGACTTGCTGATGCAGAGGGAACTTTCTTGGGCGGGACACAGCCACCACCCGGATTGGGGGGGTGTCCCTTTGAGGGTGGGCGATGCGATGCTGGTGAGAAGCGCAGGATGAGCCGGCTGCCCCTCCTCGCACCCCGGTCTGAGCAGCCTCCCGCCCACCTGGCCCCGCCCAGCAGCCCGCAGGCCGTCTCCCTGCTGCCGCCCCTCCTCCGAGTCTGTCCCTGCGCAGCTGTCCCAGTGAAACTTGGCTAAGGCTTCTGCCATGCTCCGTCCCCTGGGAATGTTACTCAGATCCCCAGCGGGAACTGCAGCCCCTCCGGGAGGGGCCCTCGCGTCTCTCCAGGACCTCTCTCGCCTCGCCCTCCCTCTGTGTCGCCTCTGCTCCTCCCTGAACACTCCCAGCTGATCCTGCCCCAGGGCCTTTGCATGGGCGGGAGCTCTGGAATGCTCTACCTCAACCCTTAACACGGTGGCCCCTGTTCTCAGCCACCTGTCACCACACCCTAGTCTGCTTCTTTGAGCAGCACTGTGCCCGGAACATAATAGAAGCTCAGTGACTATCTGTCGGATAATTGAACAAATGAATGAAAAAATCATTTGGCTGGCAGTGAACAGTATAAGTCTACAAATAATCACATAGGGTGTGGTGAGCACTGGAGAGGGAGTACACAGGGGTGGGGTGGAGGGTCTGTCCATCGTGGATGGGAGTGTGGATTTCATGGCCGGGCCACTAGGAGCCATTGAAGGTGGTTGCGCAGGGGAGCGGGGGTGTGGACCATGGCTCCGCGTGCCCAGCGGAGAGTGTGTGCTTGTGGGCAGAGAGCAGGGAGGGAGCCCGCTGATGTCCGGGCGGGGGACGGTGGTGGCTCGTTGCCGCCGAGGGCTGGAGGGGCTCCTGCTGCGTCCGGTGCTGGGCCCCACGCACGGTAAGAGGCACAGTCCTCAGTCCTTGCCCTGGAGGTGACCCCAGTCTGTCCCCAACGCTGCACCTCCAGACACGCCAGTGAGCGTCCCCCGTGGGCCCTGTCCCCCGGCTGGACGCTGCCAGCCAGGAGCGAGGGGCTTCCTCTGGTCCCCAGCACCGCCGGACTCCTGCGCCAGCCTGCTGGCTTGTCGCCAGAGGAGGGGTTTTCGGGAGGCTGCTTCCGAGCTGCGGCTGTCCCGCCTGCTCTTGTAACCGGCTCTCTGTTTTCTCTTTCTCTGCCGCAGCCAACTGGGTACATGGAAAACTCCGTCTCCTACAGCGCCATCGAAGACGTGCAGCTGCTGTCCTGGGAGAACGCCCCGAAGTACTGTTTACAGCTCACAATTCCTGGGGGCACTGTCTTGCTGCAGGTAGGGACATAAACATGAGCCAGCAGTTTCTCCCCCCCCCCAGTCTCCCTCCTCCTCCTCTCCCTGGGAGTGCTCGGCCGCCAACTGTCAGGAGGAAAGGTGATTTAACTTCAGGAGCTTTTTTTTCTCCCCCCCAAGTGTAAGAAGATATAAACTGGAGCTCACTGGAGGAACGAAAGAGGGAATGTGCATGGACTGAGCTCCTACTGCATGCCTGCCACAGTCTGGGAGCTTCATGTGTTACTCGTTTAGTTCCCTTGATAAACCTGAGGAATAGGTTTTATGATCTCTATTTTACAGATGAGGAAACTGAGGCACACAGGCACGTTGTTAGGCCCTAGAAAGCTGTAGAAAACAAATGAGTAACAGTTGCTACCTTTTGCTTTACTTTGAGTGAGGGGGGGTTCTTATTTCTTTGCTGATCCAAGTCTTTTGAGACTGGTAGAAGTATAAGCTGTCTTTTTGGGGGAAAAATGTATATTCTGTATGTACCAGGCAGGACTTTGGTTGGAAATAACACAAACATTATTCAAACTCGTGAGACAAAAAACAGAATTTAATGCTGTAACTATTAAAATAACCGGGAAGTCCAAGAGAGGACTTCAGGCATAGCTGGATCTAGGAGTCAAAACAGATCATTAGTATGCAATGTCTCTCTCCACCTTCTGGTTCTGCTTCTGTTGGCTTCGTTGTCAGGCAGAGTCTCGCTGTGTGGTGGGAAAGGTGGGCTGATGGCAGCCCTAAGCCACATCGTTAGAGCTCGTAACCCTTAATAAGCCAGAGCCCTTTTTCCTTTCAGTACCTTTTATGACATCTCATGGAATATCTTCACTGGCTCCGCTTTGGTCTCCTTCAGTCCTCAGGAATGCACTGCCCTGGGTCACCCGCCCACCTTTGACCCCAGGCGCCGTGGATTCTGATTGGTAGCCCTCCCAGGAGGGACACGCGGAGGCAGGAGAGCTGGGGCCACCGACAGGGGAGCCCTGGGCCACAAAGACGAGTGGCCACTGTCGCACACACAAAACATGTTATGTATCGTGCCAGGGGAGTCGCCCAGTTTCCAGAAGGAACCCCCAGTCAGAAACTCCTCATCTAGAGAAAATTTACCCTCTCAGCAGTGTGGGAAAGATCCGCCCTGGCCTTTCTTTTAGGAGCATTTTCCTTCTAATCCTGTCTCTCCAGGGACTCCTTCTCCAGGCCCAAAGAGATGCTCTGTAAACCTGTTTCACACCTAGGGGCCACTAGATTCTGTCGCAGCACCGGAGCTGAGAGTCACCCAGCGTGGCCCCCAAAGAATGCTGAGTGTCACAACTGAGCCTCATCTAGAAAAACCCCGTTTTTTACTGTCGTATTTTGGAGGACCTAAAACCGCGCCTGCCCCGTCTGCTTTCTTCTGCAGTTTTTCTTCTACTTTCCTCACATTTCCCTCTCCCCGCCAGCCCGCAAGGCTTCCTCCTCTCTGTCCCTCTTCCTCTCCTCTCGTCTTTTTTTTTTTTTTTTTTTTTTTTTTTTTTTTTTTTTGAGACAAAATCTCACTCTGTCGCCTGGGCTAGAGTGCCATGGTGTCAGCCTAGCTCACAGCAACCTCCAACTCCTGGGCTCAAACCATCCTCCTGCCTCAGCCTCCTGAGTAGCTAGGACTACAGGTGTGTACCACCATGGCCGGCTAATTTTTTCTAAATATTTTTAGTTGGCCAATTAATTTCTTTCTAATCCTTTTTAGTAGAGACGGGGTCTCGCTCTTGCTCAGGCTGGTTTCGAACTCCTGACCTTGAGCCATCCTCCAGCCTCGGCCTCCCAGAGTGCTGGGATTACAGACTTGGGCCACCACGCCCGGCCTCTCCCCTCTCATCTTTGTTATGGTCTGTTCCGCCCCTCCCGCCAGACCCTTCCCCGGCTCCTCTGGGCCAGACTGGCGGTTGTGACAGGAAGTCCGTGAGGCGGGTGGAGGTTGTGGCAAGAACAGGACCCCGTGGCCAGCTGAGAGGGAGGGGTGCCTGCCGTACCCCACTGCAGTGACCTTCCCGCCATCACAGAGCTTTGCGCCAGCCTCTCAGCTGCGCTGGGGGGAGGCCTCAGCCCTCCGGGGGGGGGGGTGGTGGCAGAGCTATAAACAGATGATTCCTGAAATAACTGCTAGAATAGAGGCATATCCCAGAGGACCAGGAGCCCAGAGGAGGGAGTGACTCGTTTGGCCTGGGGTGCCACAGCAGGCCCCCAGAGATGGCAGCATTGAAGCTGGGCGTAGAGGGATGTGTAGGAGTGCGCCAGGATGGGCGGGGCGTGCTCTGGGCCGAGGGATGTGGGTGCAGAGCGTGAATGGGGGGGGGCTGGGTATTTACTGCGTCTGGGGGAGAGGGGTGCGAGGGCGGTGGGTCTTGTGGAGTTCAGCGTGGTGGCCAGATCACGCAGGCCGTGCTAGCCCAGGGAGGCAGCCTCAGACCTTGTTCTCAGGGCAATAGGGAGCCATTGAATGCTCTTAAAGGGTAGAGGAACACTGGGGGATCAGTCTGGTTGCAGGACAGGAGGGCTGGGTGTACGAGTGACACAGAGGCAGGAGGGAGACTCTTGGAACTGTCCGGTCAGAGGAGGGGGCCCTGAGCCCCCGCTCCCTGGGCACTGTGGTCGCTGCTCCGCCAGCGCAGAGCCTCCTTCCTCCTGGGGCTGCGGGGGGCGGCCCTGCCCCCAAGGAAGGCCAGAGCGTCACTGGCTCCAGGGATGGAGGGACGGCAAGGCTGCAAGGGAGGGAGGCGGTGGCTGGCATGTCCCTTTAACCTGGCCGTGGCTGCAGGCCCAGCCGTGATGACTCACCTGGCCAACCGCGTCCATCCGGCAGTGCCTTCGAGTCCGGGCTGCCGGCAGAACGGGCGGGTGGGCCTCCGGCCTCTCCAGCATCCCTCTCACTGGGACAGCGGAGCCGGGGACAGGAGCGGAGAGAGGAGGGAGGAGGAGGAGGAAGAGGCCGGCAGCTCCTCCGATCCAGAGCCAGACTCGGAGTTAGGCCGAGAGAAGCAGAAGCGGCCGGCCTCGGCCTCCCACCCCCACCCAGGAGAGCCCAGGTGGGTGCAGCCCCCACCCCTGCTGTCGTTTCAAGTAGCTGGGGAGGTGGACGTGGATGGACTTCCTTCTTGTCCTCGCACCCTCCCCGCTGCCCATGGTGCGCGGGAGGTGGGCAGCCGTCTCGTTCTAGAAACGGGGTCCAGGTCTTCCTAGAGACGAGCTCCAGGCTGGGAGGCTCTGTGAGGGCGGGTGTGGGGGTGCTACCTGCCCCCCCCGCCGGGCTGTGCAGGTGGTGGGCGGGGCTTTCTTCAGTGCTCATTGTATTCACGTGCTGTGGGGACAGGTGGCCGGTCCTTTGCTTTCAGAACCTTGATTGCTCTGTGGCACACACGCTGCATTAGGGCCCAGGGCCACCGTCCCCGAGAGCAAGCCCTGTGGCCCTGGGCCAGGTCCTCCCTGCTGGGGGCGTGTGGCGTGGGGAGGCAGTCAGGTGCTCTGGCGGGTCCCAGCCCATCTGAAGAGCTTCCGCGAGCTCCTGGCCAGCAGAGGCATGAGAATGCCTGGACTGTGCCATCCAGTACTGCAGCCACCCGCCACACACGCCGTTCGAACTGGGGCTTCATTCGGTCAGATCAGAAATGCAGTCCCTCGGTCCCCCAGCTACGTGTCCAGTGTGAGTGGCTGCTGTCCTGCACACACAGATAGCGAATGTTTGCATCGCTGCAGACAGTCCGCTGGGCAGTTCTGGCCTCAAGCACATTGCGTTTTGACCTCACGTTCCTTGCCCCAGGCTCCAGCCTCAGAATGCAGGCAGTTCTTCAGTGTCCCAGTGTCCCCAGACAGGGCCCATCCTCTGCACACGGTGCAGCTCTCTCTACCTAAGCGATGTCGGGGCGCCAGGGGCTCCAAAGAGGGGCCCAACGTCCCTTCCCTGGGCCAGCCTGCCTGGCCTCTCTGTCTCTCCTTTTCAGGTTCTCTGCATCTCCGTGTGTCTGTTTCCTCTGTGTCGCTGATAATTGTCCTCCATCTCCTTCCCTCCCTCCTCCTCTCCCCCTCTCTTCCTCTTTTTGCCTCTTGACGTAGCTTACTCTGCAGTTTCTCCTCCAGGCCCCTCTGTGTCCCTCAGCCTGTCTCCCTGACCCTGTTTCTCTCCCCTCTTCCCTCCTTTCCTCCTCCTCGTCCTCTCTGTCTGTCTCGCAGGGACCGACTTAGCGCAACTCCTGCTTGTTAGAGTTTGAATCTGCACCTGATGCAGGCTTAGGGAGCTGACCTGATCATTCGGGGGGCTAAGAGGACATTTAGGCACAGGTGCCTTGTCCCCAGCGCCCCAACACCGAGCAGTGTGCCCGCAGGCCAGACAGCCAGACCGGGGCGCCCAGCCCTCCCGCACGGGCGCGGTGGCGTTTCCGGATGCCTTGTGTTCTTCCCCGAGACTCCCTGGTGCCGTGTCGTTAGAACCCCCGGTGACAGACAGGCCCTGTTCATTTCCCCTCCCTCGATGCTCTTCCTGCTGGTTTCGCTGCGAGGAGGCCGGCCATACATGTACACAGACAGCGCCGTGGGGCGCCCATTGCTGGCCCGGGTGGGTGGCAGGCACCAAAGGGCAACACCACACAGGTCGGCTTCAGGGATTCTGCCTCTAGATGGGGTTTCCGCCCATTAGCAAAAGTGGACAGGGCCCGCTGCGCCCCGAACATGGCTTCAGGCCGGACAAGAGCGAGGGGCCCTCCTGCCCGCGAGCATTTATCTTCCGGGACGGTTTCCAAGACGTGGCTCTTCTCACCCATGTTCCGGAAAGTCGCACAGGAGGCCAGGCAACTGTTTACCCCGAGCGCTGGCAGCAGGGCAGGGACAGGGTGGGTTCCTTTCTTACTGGAAGCCGGAGAGAAAGACCTTTCCGGTCTGGGAAGCACGGGCTGTTTTTCCCTAAGAGGCGGGCGGAGAACGGGGACTTGGGGACTTGGGAAGGCGCCCGCGGTGCACCCCTGGCTGTTTTTCTC